GATATTATCAGCCCTTGAGTTGGAGATGATATCATGGACAGATAAGAACTTTACATTTGATTCATTTTGTTATATTACTGAATGAATAAAGATAATGTGAATTGTTATTATGTTGAAGTTAATAGCATTTCTATTTGGATAATAATGTTATATGGGTAATCACTTTATTATGAATAGGCCTGTTAATCTTGGTGAGCTCTGAATTGTTGCCTTGATGTTACTGTAATGATTGAAATTGATAATTGTTCAATGCATAATGTTTATCATTGAGATAGATAATTGTTTTTGATGAAGTTAATTATTAATTGTTTAATTCTTACGATACGGTTTATCGATATCTTATTTAACTGTTTGTAATCAGAATGGCATGTATAGGTACATTTGTTACATTGCGATATGCCTAAATCTGAGAAATTTGCTTTGGTTTTGGTGGCATGATTGCTGCGTTGACTGATGTGTTAAAAGGTGTGAATGTTCAAAAATTCCCACCTCCTATTAAAATTTCTAAATTTAAGGGTCACCCTAAAGCCCATGGAGATATTACATTGCGTGAGTGGCCTGAGGATTTAGAGACTTGCTGTGCGCATTATCAGTTGGATGGAGATGTAAAGTATGATGCCTTGGTTAGTTATTTGGGGGATGAAGTGCATTATCAAATGTCTGTATTAGATTTTGGAAAAAGATGTGAAGAAAGCGATTGAGATTTTGAAAACTACATTTTCTCTTGATGAATCTGTATCTGTCAGGAGAGCAGAAAGCTTTAAAATACCTCCACGATTCTACTTTAAAACAAAGATTGGTGGAAGGGGTTCGAGATACGCTGGTTAAGCGAGAGTTACGTCGAATTGAATTGGCTTTTAGGGATAGACCGTTTATTGAAATGAGGGAGGAGGTGCTTGAGCTATTTAAGGGTGAAACACCTAAAAGTAACAGACCTAAAGGTGTTGACTTTTCGTGAAATTCTCAGTCTGAAACCTCTGAAATTAAAGAAGAATTGAAAAATCTTAAGAAACAATTGGGTGAACTTCAACAATCTTTGCGAAAGTTTTCTCGCAACAATAGTTTTACTAAAATGAGTGGGCCTCGTCGTTGTTATAATTGTGGCAAGTCGGGTCATAGTAGGGATGCGTGTAATGTTCCCCCAGGTCGTTGTTGGAATTACCAAGGTGTGGGTCATTATGCTTTAAATTGTCCAGGTAAAACCAATGGTGGGGTGGTAAAACCAAAGTCAGAAGTTGGTCAGTGTTCAGAATCTGTTAATGTTCCAGTTGTTTCAATTGATAATTCTGATCACAATTTTACTACTAATGAACAATTCTTAAATGCATCTTTGCTTGATCGTTTAGTTACCAAAAGTCCATGTACTTCTGTCAAGTTTGGTTGTGTAAAATTGGGATGTGTTCCTGACACGGGGGCAGAAGCCTCTATTATTTCTTCCTCAATATACCATAAAGTTTTGAAATCTGTGCTTGGTGAGTTAAAGAGTGTAAACAAGTTGCTTACAAACATAACTGGAGTTTGTGGAGTTGAAGTTCCAATTGAAGGTTTTGTGGAGGCTCCGATTGAAATACTAGGACATGACATGTTTGGCAGTTTTCTCATCGTTTCAGATATTGCATGCTCTAAAACTTCTACTTCTGGATGATTCCAGGATTTTGGCAAATTTAGGAGTGGTTGGTGATGATAAGATGATTCCACCTTGTACCGGTAGAGCTGAAGTTGTGTTGCGGGTGGATAAAGAAGAATCAAATATTTTTGTTTCTTTAAAGCATTTTAATACAGCTGTTCCATTGTCATGCAATGAATCACCTAGGGTTGGGCAGCCGGAAGCTTGTGCAAGTTTTCCTACAGGTGTTGAAAAGGATGTCCTTTGTGATAGACAACAGGCTGGTTCTAATATCAATGAACAGGATTTAGTTTGTCCTCCAGGGTTGAAGTTGGAAGGTCTGTCTGGAGATGAGGAGCGGAAGGTTTTGACGCTTGCACATACTCACAAAGATGTATTTTCAAGGGGTCCTTATGACGTGGGTAAGTGCGATGTTATTCCCCACAGAATTCATCCAAATGCTATCAAAGAAGTTAAAGAAATGTTGCAGGAAATGTTGGAACAAGGAATATTTAGACCATCGAAGAGCAGTTACGCTAGCCCTATAGTTTTGGTACGAATGAAAGACAATTCTTTGCGTTTATGTATAGACTATCGTAAGTTAAATGGACGTACTTTGAAACACTCATTTCCTTTGCCCAGAATTGATGAGGTGTTGGAGGTTTTGACGGGGTCTTGCTGGTTCTCTACTTTAGATTTAGCGCATAGTTTTTTCCAAATTATTATGGCTGATGATTCCATTGACAAAACCGCGTTTAGGGTGCCGTGGGGCTTGTACGAATTTTTGCGTATGCCACAAGGTCTTACCAATAGCCCAAGTACGTTTCAACGCGTCATGGAGTATGTTGGGGGTGATTTAAATCTATCTGAGGAACATTTGATCAGATTGGATAAAGTGTTTAGTAGGTTAGCAAACTATGGTCTTAAAGTGAAGGGAAAGAAGTGTGATCTGTTTAAGAAGGAAGTTGCTTATCTAGGCCATGTAATCTCTGGAAAAGGTGTATCTGTTGATGCAGCGAAAGTTGACAAAATTGTTTCGTGGCCTGTTCCCAAAAATATAACTGAAGTTAAGTCATTTTTAGGACTTGCTTCTTATTATCGTTGGTTTGTTCCTAACTTTGCTAAACTTGCGTCTCCTCTCCATAATATTACCCATATGGCAGAATTAAGAGCGGGGAAGCCTCGTGCTAATAATTCCCAGACCACTAAATGTGTAGTTAACCACAGTAATTTTAATTTTCAGTGGGACTTACCACAGCAGAGAGTATCTGAAGCTCTCAGGAAGAGTTTAATTAATCCTCCTGTCCTAATCTATCCTAGATTTGATCTTGAATTTATAATTGAAGTTGAAGCTTGTTTATCGCAACGAGATGAGAAGGGACTTATTCACCCTGTAGCGTATGCTAGTAGGAGTTTGCGTGCTGCTGAAAGAAATTATTTTGGACTTTCCAGATTTAAATTGGAACTGTTGGGCTTAAAATGGGCTGTAGTTGATAAGTTCGGGTCTTGCATTCAGATTTCTAAAGCGATTGTTTATACCGACAATAATCCATTAGCTTATTCGCAGACCGCAAAGTTAGGTGCAACTGAATTAAGATGGGTTGCTCAGCTTGCTATGTTTAACATAGATATTAAGTACAAGCCTGGTTTTACAAACAGATGTGCTGACGCTTTGAGTAGATATCCGTATGCAGATGCAGGTGTAGTTAAAGATGACTTGGCATCTGTCGCCTCTTGTTTTTTGGTACATGTTCATAGTGTCATTAGTAATTCTTCGACCTCTATTGATGATAATTATGTAGATTCGCAATCTATGAATAATGCTAAAGAAATTGCTGGTACTGAATGTATTTCTTCTGTATTACCAAGTTATTCGTTTCAGCAACTTGCCAGTATGCAGCAAGAGGATGAGGAATTAGGTGAAATTTGGAAGTTGTGGAAAGTTGGATGGTGTCGAGGAGAAGTTCTTCGCCCAGAAGCTGAAGTTGTGTCTGGCTGGTTACGTGAATGGTCCAACTATGTAGAGTGTAACGGTGTGCTGTATCGGCAAGTGAAGGATCCTATTTTTGATTTTGTTAGACAGTGGTTGGTTCCACAAAAGTTACGTTCAACATTGATAGAAGAGTGTCATGATAAATGGGCTCATCAAGGGATTCATCGGACTTTGTCTTTGCTTAAACGCCGTTGTTGTTGGCCAGGGATGACTGGTAAGGTAAGGCTTTACATTTCTCGTTGTGGTCGTTGTGCTCGCAGTAAACTACGGTACCTTCGCCTTCGCCGAAACCACCACTCAGACATGTGTTAGCTTTCCGTCCTCAGGAAATTGTAGCGTTGGACTTCATGAAGTTGAATCGAGGCAAAGCAGGTTATGAAAATGTGTTGGTTATAACTGATGTTTTCAGCAAATTTTCCTTAGCTGTTCCTTGTAAAAATCAGTCTGCAGTAACAGCTGCTAATGTGTTAAGAGATTCATGGTTTGTACACTATGGTGTTCCAGGTCGGTTACATTCCAATCAAGGGAAGTCTTTTGAAAATACTGTCATTCGTGAAATTTGTAAATTGTATGGCATTAATAAGTCTCGTACTACTAGCTATTACCCTACTGGAAATGGTCAGTGTGAACGGTTTAATAAGTCTCTTTGTGGTTTATTTCGGTCTCTGCATCACAACGAACGTATGAGATGGCCTGAATTTTCATCATATTGTGTTCATGTATAATTCTACACCACATTGTATTACAGGGGTTACAACGTATTTACTTATGTTTGGTCGTGAGCCTCATCTTCTTATTGACAGCTTGCTTAGTAACCTAGAGAATGACTGGTCAGAGGATTACTTGCAGCAAGAAGCACGATTAATGAAGAGAGCATATGAAGTTGCGTCATCTAGATTGAAGGCGGCAGCTGATCGAGAAGAGAAGCGACATAGTGTTAAGCTTCCTCCAGATGCTTTGAAAATTGGTGACTGTGTATTACTTCGAAGAGAAGCATTCAAAACACGTCATAAACTTGTTGATAAGTTTCATGATTGTTCTTATATAATTGAGTCAATCAATTCATCTGATGATGTGTTTGGTATTCGCCCGGTTAAAGGTGGTGTGCTTAAGCATGTTAACAGGCGAAAACTTATTTTAAATCCAGAAGATAAGATTGAACCGGAAGGTCAGCCGCTAATGAAAGTTTTGCCATTTGAATTTAATGGAGATATTAGTTCATCAGATGAGAGTGAATCGAGTGAAAGTGAATCAAATGAAGATAACGTGAGATTGATACATAGGGATAGTAAGGGTGAAGTGATAAATACTGAAAGTGTTCCCTTGAGAAGGTCGACCCGTTCTACTAAAGGCATTGATAGAAATCCATATAGATTACCTGTTTCAGCTCTTGATGGGAGATAAGATTAACGTTTGTCTCTTTTTGTACTCATACTTTTAGGGACAAAGTGCATTTGAGCGGGGAATATGTAATGATGCGATTTGTTCGTGTGATGGGATTGCGCTGCAGCTATTGTTTGCGTTATTGTTCTTGTATTTGCATATTCATCTCGTGCATGTTCATGCAAATACACAGCTGCTCCGCGGTATATATGCTTTTGTGGGCTCTTGCAACGGGTTTTCGTTTGTTCCGTTGCAAGCCCTGCACACGTTATTTTGGCAGTATGCAGTTCGTTATTTTGGCAATATGCAGTTCTGAAGTCCATGATGTAGTGTATATTATACGGTAATCTGTAGTTAATTTAATTGAATGATATGTGTGCATTGATACAATAAGTTATAAGCATGTTATATTATAATATGTAGTTAATTCATGTCCGTNTTAATTCATGTCCGTATTCGACTAATGCCGGTATTGAATGCATTGTTAATATTATTGTGCTGTACATTTACATGAGTTGTTAATATTATTGTTATTGTACATTCCGCTAATGGGGAGTGATTGTTATTACTTATAATCGTTATATTTTTGTTTAGTGATTAATATACCGTTAGCTTGGTGGTCAGTAATAGTCTGAAGTTATGGAAATTTTGGTGGCCAGTAATAGTCTGAAGTTACAGAAGTTTTGGTGGCCATTATTAGTCTGTAGTTAACAGAAGTTTGTTGGAGCGTCCAATAGTCTGTAGTTTCAGAAGTGTTGTTGGAGCGTGCAATAGTCGTAGTTTACAGACTGGTGCATTAAGCAGACTCTAGCTTGAGGTAAATACAAGTTATTACACCATTTTAATCGGCTATGCTATTTAATCATCAAATTGTTTCTGATGTTGGTGTGTTGCCAGGTTATATCAGAATATTTGTTAAATTGTATAACTTGCCTAATGTTGTTATGCTTGATATACTATATAATTATAACGCATTATATAATTCTTGTTTGGAATATATATTTTGCAGGGTTTTGTTTCGTATAGTTCGCTTTGGTTTATGTGCAAATAAAACGTTGAATGCTACAAACAGATGTCTTGTGATTGATTACCAACCGAGTCTAAACTACTCAAGGAAGATTGTACCGCCCTTTTCAATATCTTTCTAAAGTAGAACCAAGACATAAATATCTTTGATTTTGAAGGGAAATAACAGATCTTAAGTTTGAGTAGGAATGTTTTATGTACTGTAAATTTACTAATTCATTCTTTGCCTAAAGACACGACAGCAAAATCACCTGAATTAAGACAATTAAAGAAAAATAGCATTTTGCATATTTTAATTGACAGTAGACACTTTCCCCCTGCCATTGATTTTTTTTTATCTTGACCTGCATAGTGTGAGTTTTTAATCACATTTTTTTAAATGCCAAGGACTATGAAATGCATGTTTTTCTTAGCTCTGTTTTAAAGATTTTTTTTCTATATCTTTCAGCAATTGTGGAATTCCGAAAAAAAAGTTAATACCAACAAGCTATTGTGATTCAGTATTTCGAACTTCATACTATCTGAAATTTTAGTAAGATTCTTCATTTGCCTTTGTCATCTGACAAGAAAATGCATGGTTATGGAGAAATGCTGCTTCAATACACAAAGAATGTTGGTTTATATGCACGCCTGATGCAAACGATTCTTTAATATGGTTCTATATTATAAACTCTAGTGATGCTATAATATAATAGGCTTATAATTATAGACAAAAATGCTGATATAAACAGGACTGTAAGCGTAACAGTAAAGACTTAGCCAAATGATATGCGAAGGGGTATGCAAATACCTACCCCATGAAGTACAGCTGATGTTTTTTATTTAAAGAAATTATGGTTTGTATATCTTAAACTCAGTGTATTTTGTAAGTCTACAGGAGTCAATTAAAGCCATTGTTATTTTACAACAAGGAGCTGGGACCAATTGAAGACCAAATGGAACTGGTACCAGCAGCTGAAGACAAGTTGGAACTGGGACCAGCTAAGACCAGTTGGAACTTGGACCAGTTGTGAAAATCACAATACCCAACAAATTTTAGTGGCCCCCTTACATTTCAATTCTTATTCAGCCCTGAAAAAAAAAAACAGATATAGCCCAGCATAGGCCTGTAAATTATTTTGGACAAAACCCACATGGGTCCCAAATAAAACCATAATGGAAACCTAAGGGACCCAAATATATCCTTTAACGGGCCCATAAACTTTATGGGACCCTTATGGATTTTGGGTGCACAGGCAGCTCTTTCCCGTATAGGCCAATTTATAGTGGCCCCTTACATTTCAATCCTCAAAAAACCCAGATATAGCCCATAAAGATCCCATGAATTAATTTGGTAAAACCAATATGGGTCCCAAATGAAACCATAATGCAAATCTAAGGGGCCCAAATATATTCTTTAAAGGGCCCATAAAATAATTTGGGCCAACTTTATGGGACCCATATTGATTTAGGGTGCACAGGCAGATCTCCATATGGGCCAATTTATAGTGTCCCCATACATTTCAACCCCAATTCAACCCCTTAAAAACCCAGATAGAGCCCACAATGGGCCCATGAATTAACTTAGACAAACCAATATGGGTCCCAAATGAAACCATAATTCCAAACGTAAGGGACCCAAATATATCCTTTAAAGGGCCCACATTTGCATTTGGGCCAAACGTTATGGGACCTTCATGGATTTAGGGTGCACAGGCAGCTTGATCCCATATAGGCCAAACTGTAGTGGGCCCACATTTTGGCCAATGCATTTCCCATATGGGGCCTATGTTTGCTGCTACCTGGGAGAGTCATCAATCCCTGTTTCTGTCCCTATGTATATATGTACCTGTGTTTAGTTAGGAAATCAGTTCGAGTATTGATTTTAGAGACAATTACATCAGTCGTGTACTCTTCAACATTGTTTTTATAATAAAGTATATTTGCAACTATTTTATTATATATGTATATTGTATATATTATATATATTATATATGTATATTGTATATATTATATATATTATATATGTATATTGTATATATTATATATATATATAATTATTTTTACATCAACATTATTATCTGGTTATTAAGCATCTATCTGTCTTACCAATATAATCACTATTACAACTTTGACATTTAAAATGATGCACAGCAGAGCTCCTATATTCCTTAGGGGTTTGATCTTTAGTAGATATAAAATGAGAGACATTTTTGTACTGCCATAAAGTTATGGTGTTTCTTTTCTTTGTTTAAGCATGTACATAAAATGAATTCACCTGCCTTTCCTAGATCTAACCTAGATCATAGTCAAGCAATCATCAGTAGGCCTATGTATACATTTAGGTTCATTTAATTTATTAAAGAGTACATGGTTAACAACTTTTAAAGGGTACTCATTCCATTTTCTAATGTTACAAATTTCTGCTTGAGGTTTTAGGGAGTATACAATTTGTGTGCTCTTAAAACTAAACTACGAATCCAAGAAATCTTAAGGTTCCATGGGGCAAAGCTATCATAATGGATATATTGACCTGTATGTGTGTATTTTTACGATATATACTCATGCTTCCTACGCTGTTGTCGAATTGTAAATCCAGAAAATAGACTATATCACTGTTTTCAAATAATTCAAAGGTAAAATTAATCTGTTTATGAAAAGAGTTAAAGTGGCGTAGAATGTGATGAAAATTATTAGGTTTAGCTAGCACATGTCGTCAACCAAACGAGTATAAAACTAAATAATACCTGATTCTATAAATCTAGAAACAATAGACTCTTTTAGATCAGTCACTAATATATTGGCTAAAACTGGTCCAATGGGCGAGCCCATTGAAACGCTGTCAGTTTGTTTATAGAATTCATTATTACACGTAAATACAGTTTTAGTAAAGCAACGTATTTTTCTTAACATTAGTAGATACCAATTTCTTATAGTAAACCCTATCAAGAATTATATTAATTACCTTAGTAAGGGGAACATTTTGTAAACAGAGATGTAACATCATAAGATACAAAACGGTAACCTAAATTATAAGAATGGTCTGGTATAACTTTAATGCGGTCAGCAGCATCAAACGAATCTTTAAGAACAACATCTTTAACAGAAAGAGGCCTTAATAAGTTAGCTACTGAGTAATAAAAAGTGCCGGTTGTGTCAATAATAGGTCTTAGAGGTGGAATATTATAAAATCCTTGTGTAATTTAGGTAGATCAATGGCTCCGACAGGCATGGTTGATACTGGACGAATTTCTTTGTATTCAGCATAAGTTAGTTCTTTTCTACAGTATTAAACAGTGTTCGAAGGTAGGCTTGTAAGGAGTTAAGCTGTTTTTAATGAACAGTAGACAATTTCTTAAATTTAGTTGGATCAGAGAACAAGCTGATCATAAATGTAATATAATCAGATTTCTTCATTATCGCAACACCATTTCCTTTATCAAGTCTAAGAATTACATATTTAATGCGTAGGATTTTTAAAGTATTAATACGTTTGACATCACAATTTAATTTGCGGTTATCAAAATCAAGAAAGTTACATGTCATGGCACGTATTGATTCTTAATCTTTTCACGTTTAATAAATGATTTAGGTGAGCATCAGCATAATGAAGTATATTTTTATATGTTTGATATAAAACATATATTTACGTTTTATATAAACACTCAAGCCAAAAGACCACCTGAAACTTATGCTCAGAACCCCTTTGCCTTCGGTACCGTATATGCTAGCTATGGGCCTGCAATTCGTTATATGCATGTAATGAACATATATATTCCTGTTAACAATATATGTGTTTCGTAGTTATATTATGGGGGTATAAAATTAGTTATACAGAATCTATATGGCCAAAATAATATTTTGGCAATGTACTTGGAAATGAGCAGCTTATATTCCTTTTATATATTTCGAAAAAATTTAAAACACAGCCACCAACCACAAGCTCAGAATACGTAGTACCATATAATAGACGTCTAATGCTATCAGCATACTTAGGAACATGCGTCTGTTTGTGATACTTTACAGAAGGTCATGTATGCACTATATAAAATAAACAAAATACAAAACATGGAGCATTATCCAGTCGCCGGATACGTATCGTAGATATTGTTACTTATGGCTGAGCACAAGCGCAGTATCCCGCAACTAGAGGAAAAAAAGAGAAATGTAATGTCTTCATAAAAAACAAAATTAGCATACACAGCACTTCATTGAATACTAAATTGTATATGTGAAAAGTATGCGATGCGATAAACATACATTGATTATGGTTTTTAAACAAGACATACAAGTATAATCATACTTAAGACAAAAAAGATGAAAACGATGTTGAAATACAATATTCTTTAGATTATCACTATATATTCTTGTGTTCGAAATATACGATGAATTAGTTATAAATGAGAGCATATCATATCATATCATCATATCCAAATCATTTTAACACCAATTTTTTCAGTGACAGTTAAATCTCCACTCAATCCTACTGTAGTTCTCATTATGAGAAATAACTCTGAAATTAACCTACCTCTTTTACAAGTTGGCCCAACAAATCCATAAGGGCATTGGCAAGTGCTTGTGGAATCGTTATTATTAAGACATGTTCCGCCGTTCAAGCATTCACATGCTGGAGTGTCTGAAAGAATACCGGCGTATCACATTGATCTTTGTTTTAACTTAAGTGCTGTACAAGAATCTGATATATTAAACTATATGATTAAAATAATAATGATGATGATGACCGTCACCATCAACTTAAATGTTACCAAAAGCGCAATGTCGCCATAGTAAGTCATACCCTGCAGCGAGACGAGTTCACTTTCCCGCGGCAAGAAAATGTTGGGGACATTATTATGCCAGTATTTTCACTCAAGAAGTGACCGAAAGGATGGCCATTCGATTATTCTGTGTAAAAACCAAGGATAACCCACGAAAGTCTTGGACTTATTTCCAGTGTGGTCTTTTTTATGGTGAGTGCGCATTACACCTGGAGACAATCCCCTACTCTTTTCCGAAGAGTTTATTGCGTTCTTTAACGTGCGACATGGGCCATAATGCACATGGGACAAATAGCTTAAACATCTCATTCGAAATAAGGTGCGCTTTTGTAATTTGCATTTTAGCCCTCCAGCTGAAATACAAGGAGAGCAACCACCTGCTTATCCGACTGAGCTAAACTGTTAACCATTTTCATGCCCCTTTTCAGTGTATTGATTGAAACCTCATTGAATCTCTGCCAATATAAGCAATCCGTCAGTCATATAATCAGTCAATTATTCAATCAATTAATAAATGAATAATAAAATAAATTAATAAATGAACTACCTAATTATTCATTCGTTTTACCTACAAGGCACCGACATTAAAAATTCATAGACGGACAAAAAATTTACTTTGCCGTAGGCCTGATTGTAGTACTACAACCTCTATAAGTGCACGATCTGTGACTTTGGGCTCACAGGCGTTTCGCCTCTCGAGGTGTTCTGAAATTTACCAACTACCAGTGATATTTGGCTGATTTTACATCAACATGAGGCAAAGGGGCACTTGAAACGCAGTGGAAGTTTTTAGTTAAATTATACTTGCAAATTAATATATCTATTCAACAATACATTATTATAGTCATCAATATATTGTCATTTAATATAAATATGATCATTATTTGAATTTTGAATTTTGGTGGTGATGGTTATAGTAATGGTGATGATTGTGATGGATCTATGTTGCGCTATTATCGTATTATTTGTGATACTTACATATAGTGAATGTCCAAAAAAATCGGTCTCGTATTATTGACGATTCAGAGCCACATGCTTCCAATCCTGTAGCAACTCCAGCATCCATCAAAATGTAATAGCTTTGTTTTTCCAGGAGTTGGAGGCCATTTGTCATAAATGTAATAGAACGATTTGTCATTGGCTGATATACCACGTCAGGACTGGAAGAAACGTCTATTGAATACACAAGACTGTCATTGCCATCGTAGAAACGAATAAATGTTGGTTTTGTGGGACGTACAAACTGTAAAAATTAAACAATTGTATCTTTAAAAATATATTAACGATAGTGCAAGTAGTAGAATTAGAAGAGGCATGGTGACGTGAACGACTATGGCGTAGATTTGGGCACAATAAAAGGGATAAAAACATATTGCCAAGGGTTGATCCAGATTTTGTATTAGGCCTATATTGTTCTTATATAAATATGGCATTAGTATGTATTGAAATTACAAAATATTGGCACGTGCGTAATTGAAAATCAAAGATTAGATTAGTGCTTTGCACGGATTTCGTTATGTGTTGGCCATAAGCTTCTGCTTCTAAAAGCATTTGAACAACGATGGAAATATTTTTATTTACAGGAGTGGAGAGCACACTGTTGTTTTTATCTGAACATTAAACAATTTATTCACTGAACACTGAAGATTATATACGATCGGTAACAATATTTCAGGCATAGGAGATGCATTACAATAGGAATATAAGAGGCAATCATGAGTCATTTCAACTGTGTCGTGTGTGACTGCCAGGAACCAGAAGACAAGAGACACTTTTGTTTCATTTGCTCCG